AAACATATTCCATTTTTAAAGGCAAAACCACTGAACATCTCTGAGTAAAATACTACAGTAACTCTGTTTCTGAAAAATTAACATAGCAGTGCAGCCATTGTCTGAAATTGGGGGACAAATTCAGATCGAAAGATTAGTTAGGGCAGCGCCTGTAGCTCAGTGGGTAGGGCGCCAGCCACATACATCTAGGGTGGCAGGTTCAAACCCCACCCAGGGCAGCTAAAACAACAATGACAACTACAACAAAAAAACAGCCAACTAGAGTGGCACCTGTGGCTCAGTGAGTAGGGCTCCAGCCCCATATACCCAGGGTGGCGGGTTCAAACCCAGCTCTGGCCAAACTGCAACAAAAAAATAGCCAGCCATTGTGGCGCGCGCCTGTAGTCCCAGCGACTTGGGAGGCTGAGGCAAGAGAATCGCCTAAGCCCAGGAGTTGGAGGTTGCTGTGAGCTGTGTGACACCACAGCACTCTACTGAGCAATATTATCCAGGACCCAGGTTCTTTCAGTTTTCCCCTCCACCATCCTCATGTGTGTTGGTTTTATTCCAAAGCTAATTTTGTTTCCTCTAATCATAAGAAGGGTGATACTGTCACTCATAGAAACAACATCCAGAAAAGAAGAGTGATCCTCTTGTCCTCAGCCTCCTAAGTAGCTGGGACTACAGGTGTCAGTCACAATACCCAGCTAGTTTGTCTATTTTAGTAGAGATAGGGTCTCATTCTTGCTCAGGCTGCTCTGGAATTCCTGAGTTCAAGCAATCTGCTCCCCTTGGTCTCCCTTTTATGCTAGGATTAAAGGCATAAGTGCATGAGTGGCAGCCCAGAAACAGAATTTTAGAACCTGATAACTTCTTGGATATGAGAAATAGGGAAGAGGGAAGTATCAAATTTCACTCTGAGGCTATTGTTTTGGTTGACTGAGTAGAAAGCATTATTAACCAAAACAGAAAACAGGAGAAATTTTGGTCAGTGGAATAAGGTTAGTTTTGAGACACTAGAAAAGTACCTTGTCATTTGAATTATGACTCTTATCTGGATCAGTGCACCAGGAAAACTGAGCAATGCACATGTCTGAGTTTCAAGCTCAGAAGTAGACTGCATGACCAGGACAGTCTTGACAGAGCCATGCTAGAACCATTTCTTTAAATGTTCAGTAGTTTCACCAGACATCCTCCAAACAATTGGCTTTTAGGAAACCCTAAGGAAAGTTAGATGTCATCCCTAAGTACTACAGTATTTTGCTAGAATGACAGATAACTAGATGGAAAACAATCAGGAAATCTATGACATAATTATACTACTAAGGTGAAGTCAGAAGGTAAGCTAAGCCAACATTCCAGATGGAGTGTTCAATTCAGACAAGCCGTAGAAAGAGAAAGAACAAGTTATGCCATTGCAAATAGTAACTTGTGCAGCACACACCCACTTTATTTCAAAAAACTGGGAAGGGAATAGAAGTAGATTTATTTTTGCACTTCATATATGCCAGACACTCAATAAGGAGCTTTAATATACATGTTATTTTACTGAATCCTCACAATTTCCAGGCAGGAAGGCATTACTCTTCCCACTCAGACAGGCTAAACAACTTGATAAAGTCAAGTTAAGCAGAGGAGCTAGAGTTCAAGTGCAGATCTATCTGGCTTTAAAGTTGATGCACATTTCACTGTATCAGCTGCTTTCAGAAAATATACTATTGAAAAAGTTTTATCCTTCATTTTAAAAATGATGCCATCTCATCAAGAAGATTGTTTCTGAATTATTCTACTGGCCATAGAAAGGTAATGTTTGCAGTGACCCAATCATATATTTTAATTAACAGGTCTAAGTCATGTATTTACCAGTTGTTTACCTGGAGCTAAGGAGGCTATCAGTAAAATGAAGCTTCATTAAACAATACATTCAGAATTAACCAGCCACCAACAGAGCAGACATATAACAATAATATGAATGATGTGTGAGGATCAACATGTGAGGAAATTAAGTCTTAATTAAAGTTCTTTGATTAAGAAGCAGGCAGGGCTCAGCACCTGTGGCTCAAGTGGCTAAGGCGCCAGCCACACATACACCTAAGGTGGTGGGTTTGAATCCAGCCTGGGCCCACCAAAAACAACGACAGCTGCAACCAAAAAAATAGCTGGGCATTGTGGCAGGCGTCTGCAGTCCCAGCTACTTGGGAGGCAGAGACAGGAGACTCACTTGAGCCCAGGAATTGGAGGTTGCTGTGAGC